GTTTCAGTTTTGACGTAAACAACATCATCTCCGCATTGATGTTCTCTTTTTCCGCTATATTTTTAATGAACAACGCAGCAGCGCCACATCTAGTGGTTTCAACTGGATAGGCTAGCAAAAACATTATAATGCAACGACACTTACATCGTCATCGCATCTCGTGCGCCGCGTGAACCGGAAGTTGCTGCCGACTTTATTTCAGTGTAGTGACGTATTTCCAGCTGAAACGGAATATTGAATAGAGGGCATGGTTTTATTTTTGCGCTCCTCCTCTCTCTCTCTCACTCATAGCAATCTAACGGTTGGAGGGGTGTGTTTAAGGATATTCTGCCCAAGCCGTCAAACTGACGTCATCAGAAAAGGAATGCCATTCCAGAGCGGAAGTAAATGTTCAGATTTTGATTAAAGATTACGAAGACAAACAATTTTTGTCAGCGGATTAACTTGCACCGATTAATTGTTCACATCATTACTAGCAATGTGCGCTAGTAAAGTAAATAAAGTCAATTTTGATTTCATGCGGACTTTAACGCACACCTAAAATTTGAATGCAACGTTTTTGCATTCGAATGTGGATTTTTATTTTAAATTCGATGAATATTCGAAATTCAAAAAAAAATTTGACAGCCCTACTAGTTATAACATAAACCTGGTTCTGTAAGCAGATGAGTCTCAGGGAAATTAAAGTAAGAAAGGGGAAGTGCAGCTTGGCTAATGAAAGGTATGTTGTGCCCAGTGTGTGTTGGAAATGAATGTAGGAAGCAAGCAGCAACAACACCACGAATAAACCCATCTATAAATGTACATTTAAATGTATGCATTTGACAGACGCTTTTATCCAGAGTGGCTTGTATTGCATTCTTACTATACATTTGATCAGTTCATGCATTCCCTGGGAATCAAACCTGTGACCTTGGCGTTGCTAGTACCATTTTGCTATATGAAAATACTTATATTACTTTGAATTTTTGACATTTGCAAATAAGAATATTGCAGTAAAATGTAAGTTATGCCCTGGTGGAAAATATCTCTCAACCATTTTGTTGCGTTTGATACAGCAACATGGCAACTAATCTAACCTAACTACTGTACTGAAAGTGGGAGATTCAGTTAGTTTTTAATTTAAATAGTGTTTAAAAAGTATTTGATATTCAACATTTTGTTATCTGTCTTTGTATTGCCCAACTAGTAGCTAAATGTTGGGTATATGTTTTAGAAATGATTTCAGTAGTGGGTAATGTGTGCAGAGTCTGCAGACATTCAGTCATTTCAGTTCAGACAGTGTAATTAGTAGAGTAATCCTTTTACAATCTAGAAGAAGTCATTAGTTTGGGTAACTGGTTTTCAGCATTCTCCAGCATTTTGGTTTTAATGCTGGTAAAAAATTATAACGCAGCAGTGAGCAGCTTTAATAATAAATAAGAATATCTTTCATATCTTTTACGAAAGAATATCTTTTTAAGAATATCTTTTTTTCTAGTTGTGTTTTGATATTTTCACTCCTAATTATTCATTTCTGTTTATTCCTTGTTTGTTGGACCAGAGAAGGGAAGGCTGACACATCAAATGACCCTTAACCTTGAGATATGTCTCTCAAATACCTATTATTGGGTGTATGTGTGCTGAGAGAAGTCTAGAAAATGTTTGCTTTATGTTTATCGCAAAGTCATGAGTTTTCCGGGCTGGAATTTCAACACGCCATAAAGATAAAATTTGGCCTCTGCTTGAGGTCATTTTAAGTACTCGCATTGTGTGTACGACACTTAAGTGTTTATTTAAAAGTGAGCGGTACATTGGTGTTGGAGCTTGGGATCAGAACCAGGATTGAATGGATGTGAATTATGCCTTGTTTATGTTTTTTTTTTTTGTGCTTTGTGTGCTAAGCAGAGGATGAATGCGAAGGTTCCACATGGGATGTAATAGCAGGAAGACCTTTGTGAGACCACACCTCAACCCCACCCATTTACTGAAGCATGAATCCACTCTCTCACACACACACACACACACACAAACGCGCGCGCCGGGCTGACAGAACAGACTGCAGCTTTCTTAATGATCGATATTGTGCATAACCACAAAAAATGACAGCTTTTTTTGTGATTGTCCTGAGGGTGCGGTACCTACCTGCTGCCGAAGACTGTACAAAAAGCAGCAGGATGGATTATTTAAACCATGTGTAGCCATTCATCCACATTTTAACCATTCACACTCACCCTGAAATTAGGCTGTAATTAAATAGGCAGTGTGCAGACCATCATGACACAATTAGTATTACACATTGGAGAATGTGACTCACAGTTGATTTCAGTAAGTTTTGATGTAGCATATTGCTAATCTAATGGCATGATGCTCTAAAACTGATTATTTTTGTATTTTTATAAAACAAAGATTTATAAATACTTTTCATTACTGAGCTTATTGCTGGGGATTATGGGATTGTCTTCTCAGTAAAGGACACATGCACTGCTACTTTAGCTCTATTTGGCTAAAAGTAGGGACAATATTCTTAACTTTTGGAGCTTGCTTTGCATCTGTAGAGCATCTATGATGTTTTAAAATGCTGTTTATGTAGTGTTTTATCATCTGTTGTTTCGAGTGTGTGATGTGATTAATCTGGGTTCTTGTGAATGACCTTCTGTGTTGATTTTAAGAATGTGTCAGTTTAAAAACACAAAATCTTAGTGTGTTTTAAAACTTGATAAGATTATCTAGTGCTGCTCCCTTCCGATATGGAGTTGACGTTCAGTCTCGGTAAGTGAATTGATTAGATTAGTTTGTCTGGGTTGCACTTTGTTGTCTTGTGACCAGTTTTATTTTTACGTTATTATTTATTTCTGCTTTTGACACAATAACTAAATAATTATTGGATTACAATAATAAAAACGTGCAGTATACATTTTTTTGTATAATTACTATTATAATATACACTACTTTTCAACAGTTTGGAGTCTGTACTTTTTTTGTCTTTGGAAAAAAGTCTGCATTTGTTTGACTAAAAATAAGTAACAACAGTAATATTGTGAAATATTATTACAATTTTAAATAACTTTTCTATTTTATTATATTTTAATATGTAATTTCTTACTGCGATGGCAAAGCATAATTTTCAGCATATAAAATTGTATTTTATATAAAATTATATAAAATGTAAAATAACTTTTAGAACCATTTTTAAGATCATAAATGTATTTACTTTATCAATTAAATCCGTCCTTGCTGAATAAAAGTATTAATTTCTATTAAAATTTTTTTTTTTTTTTCTTCCTGACCCCAAACTCTTGAATGGCTGTTATACACAGTTTAAATATTATATATTAAATTTGACTAAATCAACCAGACTACAGTAGAAGTAATTTTAATGTTCAGATTAGGTAGAAATAGCTCCTTAAGTTAACAACTGCATAATTTTTACATTTTAGTGCCTGAAGAAAGAAACCACACATCGTATTTTAGTGGTTTTTTGGATGTTTTATGCTTTGAAAACATTTGTACCCGTGAGGCCCATTTTCGTGATCTCACCTAAGGCCCCAAAAACCAGCCCAAGTTACACCAACATTTATTATTTAGGGCTAGGGGCTTGTTCGTGCCCTAAATATGAGCAATTGGAATAGTAATGCTTACTTTAGCAAGCGCCACTAATAAGAGTGTCACACAGCTACTGAGAACACGTACATAATATTGTGTTTTGCATCCTGTATCCCAGACCTTGCAATGTCAAAACTTCCTGTGGGATATTGCTGGTTCAGTCTGAACAAAGAGCTGTTACCTTAAACCCGTTTCCTATTAAATGTTCCATTTTTACACACACACGGCTTTTTCCAATGTTTTTGACGTCTCCTGTTGGAAGTTACGCTGCTTGCCAAGGGTTACCCACAATCCTGACCTTTCTTCTGGCTTTCCTTTTCAACTCCTCATGAGAAATGCCAGTCATTCCTCAACACCTTTTTGAACACTACTAGGCGCGCGTTTCCATTACCCTTCAAACTGCGCAAATTGAAATTGCGAATTGAAAATACACCTAATGGAAACGCGTCAATTTCGCAAAAACGCCCATATATCGCAAAAAAGTTTTTACGCTCGCATGAGGTGGTTGTTTAGGCAATGCGAAAAAGGAATAATTCGCAAAACTGCAATGGAAACGGCTTTTTAGCATTTACAGGTCACATGGCGTACGTCATATGATCATTCTTCAATGTACTTCCAAGAAACACATCATACGTGGCAGCTCTCCAGTATAAGGTGCTTTCCCTGACATTAATGCTTAGACAATTTACACTGCACACGTCTGCGGTGCAGTGTGGCTCTGATATGGCCACTGAAGCTGATTG